TACTCATAATAAAAAAATGGTAAATTGTAAGGGGTACATCAAATTAGACTTATTTGACAAAAAATACACGCTAAAAATGTAGGGTTATTAAATGCTTAATTTTGATATTTATTTGTATCCAAGTACATAATTTGAATTTATCTATTTTATTGTGACATTTTTACCCTCTATTAATCCATGTGTATTTAATGCACCATTTTTCTTTGGAAAGTAGTGCTTTAAACATCTTCTAGTTTTATGGAAAAACTTTAATATATATATATATATACTTGTTGTTAAATCTCTTATCTATATTTTGAATTATCTTTTAATGCACCTTGATTCATGCATTTTTTTTTAAAAGTGATTTTATTTCAAATTAATTTAATATCCGAATAGTGTAATAGTGTAACAATAACAATATAACAATATAAAGTGTAACAATGTAACAGTATAACAATAATAGTGTAACAAGCTATTTATACAAAATATTGTACTATTACATTTTATCAAACATATAGTTTCATATATTGTCATTCAAAATAGTCCATCTCCATTTTGAATTTGTTACCATATACACAAAATTACTGAATACTATTTTTGTTACAGTGTATTTGTTATACTGTTATTGTTATACTATTACATTATTTGGATATTAAATTAATTTGAAATTAAAACTATTTTTCAAAAAAAAAAACGCTTGAATCAAGGTGCATTAGATATAATTTAAAAACAAAATCATTTTTTAAAAAAAAATACGTATCAATCAAGGTGCATTAAAGATAATTCAAATTTAAATAAGAGATTTAATAATATATATATATATATATATATATATATATATATATATATATATATATATATATATATATGTGTGTGTGTGTGTGTGTGCCTATATATATTCGTATATATATGTATATAAACAAGTATATATATATATATATATATATATATATTAACAAATACACATGAATCAAAAGTGCATTAAATATGTGTTTATATATATTAATAAAAACACATGAATCAAGGTGCATTAAAAATAAGAGATTTTGAATTAAATGACCCTAAAATAGGCATTGATGTCTTTTTAACTCATATTTTATTTTATGTAATTTTTGTCAAATAAATCTAATTAGGTGTATCGACTTTCAAAGAACTCCTAAAAAAAACATAGTTTTGGGAATTATGGTGGACCAGTCAACAACCTCCTTGGACCGGGCCAGCTAACTATTGGGTCAATTCAATCAAAACGAGACGATGACTCATTGTGACTAGTCGGGTTGGGCTATGACCCAATATTCTGACGGGCTTTTGGAAACCACCCTTTTACTAGAGGGACTCACAAATTTCCCAATTTTAGACTATATAACTTCCTCGGTTTATTGAAATATCAATACAATTTTCTTTGATGGGTCATTTTGATTATTAGCATTGAAATATCAATACAATTTTGATTATCCAACCCCAACCATATGTACTTATAAATAAATATATTACAAATTTAAGTGATTATTCGATGTAATTGAGTTCTAATTCAAATTTAATGTGCCCAAACTTAGCTTTTATACATAATTCAAATTAGATCTTTAAATATCATACTTGACTTTTGTTAGATTCGGACATTTACTGTGAAAACACGACCCCATTGAATTTTTTAGATTGTATTCGAATTTGAGAGTTATACAATTGGATACTTTGTTTCGTAACTTGTTGCTTCTCTCGATTGAATGTTAGTCTAACCTACTACGAGGATCCAGTATCCAACAACCCAACTAAAAAGTGTTTTAAAAATAAGTTTTTCAATTAAAAGCTTGTTTTTTTTAAAAAAAGGTAGATGAATAAATAACTCTAATAACCAAGAGAATTGTGAATAGTAAGATATCCTGGTATGGTCAACAGGTTATTTTTGACATCTCAATTGATAAAATATGTATATGGACTAGGGGTATCTCGTGTTTGACAACATAATATAATATAAGTGAGAAGTGATAAATTTAGGTGAGAGGAAAATTCAATGTGAATAATTTTAGAAATGTTAGTGGCTGTTGGATAAGTTTATTTGATACCGTCAGATAAAAATATTAAAATATATTTTATTTTATATTATAGATAGATGTTTTCATTATTTCCATTTTTTCATCATACAAATATAACTTGCACTTAATAAAATAATTTTATTTGATGGGAAAAAGAAAATTTTCTTCCCATGAAAATAGAAAATGCATCTCTTCTAATTTCTTTTCTTCAAGTTTTCTATCGTTCTCATGAATCTCATCAAACGGAAGATAAGAATGAAGTTTAACAAAAAAAAATAAAATAAAATCAGGAGAGTAGCAATTTTTTTTTCTTTTTTGGAAGGGAGGAGAGAGAGTATCAATTAAGAAGGTGGTAAAAGGATATGCATTTTGCATGGATATCTATGATTTAATTGCAGCTAAGACCAAAGACCTACACAGAGGGCAGGTGAAGTTATTCCGATCAAGCCACCCCTGAATACACTTCACGTGAAACAAGTGCCCACATCTATGGAGTTGGCTTACCAAATCTTGCCTCTCGAACTCCACCAAGCAAACACTACACATCTCCTCCTCCTCCTCCTCCTCTCTTTGCCGCCCTCCAAATCCTCAAATCTGACAGCTGAAAAATCTACCAGCTGCAAGCTCCTTTCTTGATGGCCGGGCTTTGTCTCCGGCCAATGGCATGTGTAAAACACGAACCCTGCGGCAATCTCAAACAATGTCTTTTTCATATGAAGGAGTGGAATCCATATACATGTGTAGAAGATGATGGTAACAGTTGACAGACTAGATTGAGGAGCATGTACCAGAGATATCATTTTTGCTATATCCTCTCTCTCTGGATTATTTTTTTTATTTTCTGGTTCAGCACGAACCAATCAAGAATTTTATGTGAAAAGGACCAACGAAGATGAAAGAAGAGTATAGGGGTAGGAGCTTATGTGAGAGAGAATAGAGATGTAGATCTTCATTTATATAGCAAATATTGTTGCAGGGTCAACTGCAATATTTCCATGGTTTTTGACAATATCTTATGCGTTTCTTTAATACTTAGCTAACGTTTGACTTTTTTGGCTGTTGAGGAAATCGTTTTATAAACGAAAAGTGAGCAGATTAAGGGGGTTTGAATTTCGTGCATCATATGGGTCTGTGAATTTTGTACGAATATTTAGATGAGTGTCATTATCACACAATGAATCTGGGGAATGCAAAGGCCGGCGCCGCCCCCCCAAGTCTTCTGTTTCTCTTTAATTTAAAAACCAGGAAACACCACCAGGAAGCATGATTAATCATGATTTCAAATATTATCACCGAGTCAACTCGACTTAACGAGGAACATTGAGACTTAAAAATTTGACTTGACTTAATTTGTTGATCTAATTCATTGTAATTTTTAAATTAATTTAAAACCTCATCAAACAATAAAATTTGATGTTGATCCAATAATTCTTATTAAGCTATATTATTATGTCAAATTTTTAATTTAAATAGCATTATCCCTCAATGAAATATTGAATATGTATGAAAAGACGATTCTAAGTCGATTCGATTGAATACTTTTATACGAGTTCGCTTTATGATCTAAATTTCTCCATGTCTAACATTTTAGAGTTAATATTTTGTGTGAATTGTTGATATTGTTATGTAACTCGGGACCAATGTTTCTTAGTAGCTTTTAATTAAGTTGATGATTAATATGACGGCCTCGAACCACAACTTGGATGGAACATATGTCAAGCATGTGACACATAAAGCAGTTGGTGGATCTGCAACTACCAACCCCCATAAGAAATTAGGGTAATGTCAAAACTCCTGAGCTGTTCTCTCTCTCTCAGCCATGGCTGGAAAAGCTGATACATCTCATATTGATGATCCATCTTCACTGGAGACACAGATGATCCCGATGCTGCTGTAGGTGATCAGTGATGTGCATGACCATAGTACTTTTTATCTTTTTTTCGTTTAATAGTGAGGTGTATTCTGATCAGTTTACGTGTACTTCTTTGGTTTAGTTAAAAGCAGACCATTCACGCTGAAACTAAGGTATTCACAAAGGACTCATGACCTAATCTCAAGGAGTTGCCAAAATTTAAATTATATTTACAATTCGTTCTTATTCACACTTTAATTTATCCTTTGGGTTTACCATAATACTTTTATCGATAAATTATGTATGAACCATGACAAATATCAAATTGGTATTCTCTCTTTGTTTCTTCTCTTTTTTATTTTTTTTGGGTATTGGTGGGAATCTCTATTTTGCTTGCCCGTCTGCTTCATCTATTCTTGTTTATTGTCAACTATAACCTGCCCAACGGCCCAACAAAAATTGAATATTTTAAGTTATAATGTTTTCTAAGTTTCAAGTTATTCATTATATTTCATGCTACAATTCGATTATTAGCTTTCTTTAAAAAGGCCACAAGTCCACTTGACCAGTATCCGATACAATGGGCTGCACTACGGGCCATAATTTGAGTGTAGGGCCCATATTCGGCCTTTCCATGAGATGGCCTTGAAAAAAGGTCAGTCTGGCCCAACCAAAAAATTTCCAATATATACTCATCTTTTTTTTTTTTTTTTTTAGTTTGGATTCATACTTAGCTTAGTAAATTAGATTAATGAATTAGATGCAAGTAATGTTTTTTTTGGGCCAAGTGATGCAAGTAACTTTACTTTTCAAAATTTGCTACCCATGACTATCGGGACCTATTTGGTGCAATTTATGACTCGAGCCAGGCACGTAAATGACCAAATGGTGAAGAGGGTTTTGGTGTGAGAGTTTGAGTTGGGGTTTGGATCGGGGGAGGCGAGGTGGGTGGGTGGTTGCAGTTCAGGGAAGTGGTGGTTGTTCGGGTTAGTTTGCCAAGAGGGAGCAAGAACGGTTATCATATGGAATTTTAAAAAATCAAGGAATGTTGAGAGTTGGATAAAATTTCCCTCGAGTTGGGCAAATTGATTCTCCTAAAAGACTACAGCGAGTTACCATCAAGGGAGCAGTACCATTCCTAAAGGATCCTTCTTCTTCCTAAGTATTGAACAAAATAAAAGTTCACTTATACAAGAGTTCAGGTCAAGAGATGATCGACTATAACTATAAGTAGACGCTTCAAAGACTATACCCCCATCTACATCATTGCAAGCTTTGTTTGCACCACTGACAAAACTCCCTATCTTATTCTGGTGAACTTGAAAAGCGGCTTGATCAAGCCTATATTTGACTGCCAATTAATGATAAAAACGTTGATCATAACAAGAGATACAAAATAAAGATCAAATGATGTGATGCTGACATAGAAAGCAAAATTCAAATTTTAAATGAACGAATGAGACCGAAAGCACCACCATATTAGTGCCATTTGACCTAATCTAAATTTACATTATTGTATGATGAAATTGAATAGAAATTTAGAGGTAATTTGTTGAAAAAATAGTTCAATTACGTTATTTTGGATCTTATTTTGGATTTTTGTTATGGATTTGGGTGTGGATTGCAAAAAAAAAAATATATATATACTAGATATTTAGATGAGATTTGCATCGAAGATTTCAAATCCACTTCCCAAAATTCAATCAATTGATAAACCTGACTAGAATGTTATAATCAGATGGCAATCCAAAGGGAATGATATTGATGCGAGGTAAAACTAGTGTAATTTATGCGGGATATGTTAGAAGTTAGGCCAATATTCAATCCACACCTTAAAAAGTTGCTGATTAAGGGAACAAACCAGGAAATTAATAATCCACTTATTAGTTTATTTTAAAGTACATTGGAAACTCATAGACACAAACAGAAACCAATTTAGTTTGTGGAAGCCCACAAGCTAGCATTACACTCACTTCTACACAATTAGCACACAGATATGGATTGAACAATATTACAAACAAGCTATTTTGATGATCATTACCCCTTTTTAGTCATTGCAATAGTGACATTGATGAACTCAATTCTTTCTTTGGACATTCTATCAGCCACAATCTTTTTGTACCTGCAGAACACCTCGTTGATTATGGTTGCACCAAAGTGATTGAGAAGCAAGGGTTCAGCCACATCTCTCATGCACTTTGTAACATTGTATGCACCGTTCTTATAGGAGTCCGATGCAAATAATTCATTGTCGTAGGCATTCCAATTGACTTCAGAAACCTTGAGGCGGTCGATTCCAAAAGATCCTTCCATTTCGACCTCGGATTTTACTTCTGTTGGGGATGGTGTGTACTGAGGGATGTTGAATGAATCCAGTTTCTCTTCTTCTATGAGGCCCTACATTGATGTTAACATTAGAAGGTGCATGATTTTATGCATGTGAAGTAGAAATAAGATTCAATTTGATGGGAACAAAGTGGGTATGCATAGCATACCTACAAGTACTTTCAAGTTCCTCATCCATATTAACGAAGAATAGGTCAATTAAAAGTGTATTTAGAAAAAGCCTCCCGAGTGCGAGTATAAAGTGTTGTCTGTAACACCTTCGTTGTCTGTTATAAGATAGTCTGGTTGTCTTCGTCTAACCATGTTTTTTTAATGGAAGACAAAAGCATTTTATCCTCAGGTGTCTTTTGGTTTATTTCAGCAAAACCATTTTTGAACATTAAAACCATTTTTGGATGAAAAAAACCAGTTTTCGATTATTTCAGGTGTCTTTTGGTTTATTTCAGCAATTTTTGAACAGAGAAAAACTTATGCAAAAAAATTTATTCGGACATTAAAGTGATGGTCATTGTCAATAAATTATCACACTAAAGAACTTGGCCACCGTCATTCTTGTCATCTAATTAACAAGATACCGTTAAACCTTGTTAGCTATAAGCCAAATGAAAAACCCTTTCAGAATCCAGAAGTAAAGATGTTCAGATTCTTTTAGGTCTAAAATTTGTGTCATTTAAATTTTATGTAAAATCCGATTTCGATTTCTTCACAATTTCAAGTCTTTTTTTTTTTTTTTTCAGTTTCTGTCAAGTTGAATTATACACAGTGATAGTTCAACCACCCACCGTTCAATTCACCGGATCTTATTGAATGTCAATATGAGCTATAAAAGTACAGCAGGGAAAACTTTAAGCTAAAACTCAACAAAAATCGATAAAATTCAAAATTATGAGGATCTAAACCCATTTTATGTTATATCAGAAAAATAACATGTCAATTAAAAGTTTTATATTTGAATATTTTGCACATTAAAACTCTTTTTTTGATAAAAAAAAAAAAAACTAGTTGAAGTTACAAAACTAGATAATTAAGGTTACGAGAATGTTATATTCTAGACTCGATAATTTGTGCCCTTGAGTATCTATCTTTCTCGTGAGTATATTTCACAAGCTTTCTGACTTGTCTTGAACTAAATTTTATAGCCCAATATTTTGATCATTAAAACAATTTTTTTGAATGAAAAAAATTATTTTTCGATATTTCTTCGCAACTTTTGAACAGTGAAAAACTTATGTAGAAAAGTTTATTGATGTAAGAGTCATAGATGAAACTCCATTTATTTGTAGCTTGTAATCAGCACTACTCAATAGAGACATTGATACAACTTCCAAGAATCTACCCCTTAGAGCATTGAAAAGTACTGTAACCATCAACTTGCTTATATTGAAAATTTTAAGGTTGTTGGAGTCAAGATTGACAGTCTTTTTTAATAATAGTTTCCAGGTTAATGTACTTCAAATGTTAATATAGGACATTAAACTGGCCGTCATTGTCAATTATTGTCACGTTCAATATCCTAAGTAATGGCCGGTTTAATTATGTACCGTCAAATTAATTGGATCTTATCGAGTGCCAATATGACCTACAAAAAGACAATAGTGAAGGCTTAATCTATATAATAATGGAGAAGCAAACTCAACTAAAATTGATAAGCTTCAAAATTGTGAGAATCGACCCAAACCCATTTTATTTTATATCAGATAAAAAAGGAAAAAAATTGAGGGTTTTAGTGAAAGATTAGTATACCTCTGAAACCATGTCATTAAGTGTTATAGCTAAAAGCTCCCAAATGTAACAACACTCTTCGCTAGAGGGATCTTCACTTTTCCTCCCAAGAAAAGTTAGAACCATTCGGCCTCCGGTGACTAGTTCCTTGGAACGACACTTTAGGAACAAGGTGAAATCTCTTTGAAATTGTTCATAGTATGCTTTTATCACACTTGGCGGGCTTGTACTTGCCATGTAAATGTTCCTTTTGTTATTTTCTATCCCTTCAGAACCTGATAAAACAAAAATCTTGAAATTATATTTATTCATCCGTTCAACGATCGTAAGTTTTGATATTTCACTCGGTTAATAGAGTAGAAACAATGAAAAAAAAATTCTTTAATTAGAACACACCGGACCCATATGGTATAATATTATTTATTTTGGGTTAGACTTCTACAGTTTTAGAATAAAGTCTAATTTGGGATTGGTTACTATCCACCCTAAGGTCCAAAGTTTGTGACCAGTTCCAAGGTGACGTTAGATTTTGGATGATGACTCTTATTCCACTAGCTTGCACCATCTCATCGGATGTGGTATCCACACCACGAGGGTTAGTGACTCTGATACAATTTTTTAATGTCAATATTATTCGCTTTCGACTAGACCTAACGGCTTAAAATATTGTGACACAATAAATATGCTAAAAAGGAAAAATAACGCAAAACAAAATGTCTTATTCTTTTTTACCTGGGATAGCCATTGAAGACTATAAGAAGAATGGACGAAATGCAGACTTCCTGTAGCAAAAAGCTTACCATAGAATGAACCAGGAACTCAAGTGAAAAAACAAGGTCCAAATCCAGATCCCCTCTGGTCTCTCAGTTCTCCCTGGAACTTTGGCAACGACCGAAAAATCGTGTTAAAATCGCTTCCCGGAAGATCATTTTAGAAGATTTGAAACTCTAGTGACTGATCTCCCATTTTCTGACGTAGTTTTTCAACTGTTTTGATGAGTTCAGAGACCACTGGCAAAGTGTTTGGACCAGAGGAACAACCCAAGTGTGCAATGGATAAGATTTTGGAGAAAGTACTGCTGTAGAGATCAGTTATGACTTCTTCTGTTATCGGCTTTGGTAATAGATAGCACCTTTGCTGTACACAATACAACATTAACCAAGTCAATCTTCTAGAAGAAGAAATGTCAAACATAATAATAATAGTATTCTATTGCTTGCATGATCTTCAAATTTTTACTCTGCTTTCTTACATATTGGAAGTCTCACATTATTACATTCTGTGTTTTGGGGGGTGGTACGTTAAAATTTCATGAAGGGATCCAATTTGTGTTAGATTGGTAATGAAACTTATTTTATAGTAAGTTTTGCCACTAAACTAACACCAATTGTGGGATCATTTCGACATTCCATAAATTTTGAATATTTATATGGAAAAACTACTTCTCTAGGAGTCTGTAAAAAGAACATATATGTTAATTCAACAATAATGATTAATTAGTATTTTTTGTTTGTTAAAGTTGACATTACTTTAAAACACATTATACCGTGAAAATTCAAAACTCAAATTTGTAGAACTACTCACACGCATCACCAAGCGACGGAAAATTTGATCACCGGATACAAATTTCTCATGTGTCACTACATCTAATATGATAAAACTATCAGTACAACCATAGCAAGATAAACTTGAATTACTTAGTGGAACATGTTTGTCGATTTCCGGTTCATGACTAATGCCATTGAATTTAATCATGCATATTGGTACTTTCATATTGTGTGTGTGCTCTTTTTTCATATCACATGATGCTATCTGGTCCATATCGCAATACAATGTTGTAAATACTCACATTGCCTTGGATCTTTTCTTTTTAATGAAGGAGAAGACTACCCAAAAACAAAAAAAAAAATTCACAATCATTCTGCCAAGTTTTATAAGTTTTGTGATTTGAAATACAAGTGTTTTGGGTTTATTTATTGAGCGGATTAATGCAATACTAGAAGAATATCTCAGGCATTATGTCACAACAAATCATGAGAATTTGGTAAATTTACTTAATGTCGCCTAATTTAGCTATAATTTGTATTAAAGTTAGAATTACAATTTTTTTAGATCCATTCACAACTTTTGAAGTATTTTGGAATCGCTTTTATAATTGTTAAGATCGCTTTTGACAAAATGACCCCAAAACTTTTGACCGTACTTTTCTACTTCAATAAAAGCAAAATTTGAGATGAAAACGTGCATGGCAGTGGGTAAGGGCTCCAGTTATGACTATGAGGTGTTCATTACATGGACAACTGTTTGAAATTCAACTAGTGAAAAGTATAAAGGCTTTGGGCTAGACTACGGTACATCTCTTTGAATTTTCGGTATGGTACTTAAAATCTTAGGCAACTAAAAGATAAAAAATACACTGCAAAATGATGCAAAAATGAACACATATAAAGCAAAAGTAGGACAATTGCATTGACCTGTTGCTCACTTATAATGTACAACAATGATGGATGAATGATGTATTACAACAATGAGTGAGTCACTTTTCTTGTTAGATGAATTATGGAAAACAATGAATTTTCAATTCCATACCAAAAATCCAAGAGGATGTATCGTAGTCTGGTCCCCCTTTCTAATTAGTACAACATAACAACGTGTTACTTGGTCTTGTCCTCGTGTTTTGGTGCTTGACGTTAAGTGATCATTGAGTCATGATTATGATACATTTACATAATACCTAAGTTGAAAGTTTGAATCTGCAATTGAAAAATAAAATTTTGGTATTATATTAATATTTATTATATTTATGATTATTTTTATTATTGTCGTGGTACAAAAAAGAGTGATAAAAATAATTATCATAATAATAATAAAAACACACAAAAATTATAAAAAGACTCACCAAAGTGGTAAATCACCTATAAAAATTATAATTTTTTTTGTAACAATTAATAGTGATTAAAATAATTACCATTGGGTTCTCTGAAATCGATTCTACATTATCATCAACCCTATCTTCATTACTAAAATCATCAAATAATTGATCTTGAGCAGCGTGTATTCTAATGAGATTTAGTATTGCAAACCCTAGCGGGTTCGATGAAAAACATAATGTATTTGTTCCAATTTCACAACATGAAAAAAAACACCATTATCACGTGAGGCGGTGCATATCTGGATTTACTCAAAGCTGTGTTTCTCATTCAAAATGTCCCAATTTGCAACTTCTAACCAAATGTACAGCCTAATGCAAAGCTAGAAAGAAGAACACATTTTCCCAACTAATTCAAAACGTTCAAACCAGCAATTTCACAACCCAATGCATATCTAATCCAAAAAAAAAAAAATCAAATTTAACCGAAAAAAAATTATATCTAACCCAAAAAAATCAGATTTAAATATAGTTGATATATCTAACACACAAAAAAAAGACAAAGAAAATCATATCTAACACAAAAAGAAAAAGAAAAGAAAATCAAATCTAACGCAACAAAACAAATATAAAAAGGAAAATAAAAATCAGATTTATACACATCAAAAATTCTAACACACAGAAACAAACCGGAGTTAACATACATATCTAATACAACAATCTAGCTGCTGAGAAAGGGAGATCGAAAGATATCCAAAAATAGGAAAAAAAAAAAACTTTGAAAACACTAGATCTATGCGAATGAAACTAATGACATAGGTGAGAGAACTTTAGATGTAGAGAGAGAAAGAGAAAGAGCATCTGGACGAGAGAGACGATCATTACAATTACTGGACTAGAGAGACGAAGAAAACCAGGTAGAACAAAGGGAACCAAACGATGAAGACTTATTTTGTCGCTAACAAAGATCAATGGTAGGATCTCATTAAATGGGAGGAGCACCCCTCCACCCATTTCCCTTTTTTTTTTCTTTTTTTATAAACAATTTTTTTTCGTTTTCAAAATCTGAGGCAAATTTCAAAACAATTTTATTTAAAAAAATACTAAAAAGATTACCAAACGAGTTTAATTTCAGGTTTTCTAAAAAATTAAAACCAAAAACAGAAAAATTAGAAACATAATCATTACCACCAAACGGACCCTTAACTTTGGGTTAATTTGTGACTCTATATGATTTTTATTCTATTGTTTATATATGATATTTTACACATGTTGATTTTTTTTAGATCATATAGATAAAATCTTGTTGATTTATTATGACAAATAATGGGTATAAATTATTTTCAAATTATATAATTCAAGAAAGGAAAGAAATTAAGAATAATTGTTATTTCATATAAAAATCGATGTTTTGAATGCTCAGATTTTATATTGCACTGTTCCTTCAGACACAAATTATGACTAGTGTATACATAGTTGTAACTATTATGGATAAGGTTTAAAATTGTTTGTCACTTCATTTCTCGAAATAGGATTAATTTGACAATAAAACTAAATTTTGTCATAGGCAAGTGCATATTCAAACTGATTCCACCAGATCAAATCACGTTAGTTGCATTTGGCTCACTTAAAAAATGAACTTAAATTTAATCAAATTCGATTCGTTTTGCAATTTAATCAACACTTGAAGAAGTTGAAACTGCACCAAATCCAAATCATTTGACACTCTACTTATCCCCTAGACAAAGGAGTGCTGATAATTCTATCTGACCTCCTACCATATGGCAGTATAGTAATATTTAGCTGGAGATGAGCTGAAAACTATGCCCCCAGTAATATATCATGAGCAAAGTTATGAGAACCTAATTTTCGAACCTAATTAAATACAACAATTAAATTAATTGTAAATTTTAATATTAAATGAAGTCCCCTTTCAATGCAATGATTATATTGAATTAAATTTTCAAATGAAGCCAAAATAGCATTTTCAAATATCATTAACGTTATTCGGAGAAGCATCAAAGCATATTCAAGGAAGGTTCACGAAACACGACGAGGAATAGCATGCGACAACTACTAGTTTGTTGTCAAAATTAGAATACACTGATTTAGGAAAAAGTAGTTATTGCACATTCACACACACTAATTTTTCTTTTTTTAATGCTGGTTTCACACACACACACTAATTCGTCAATCGTCACCATAGTGAATCAAACAAACTTCATGCCATTGAGGTCATCTGATCTATGTCATTTTGGACTATTATAATTATAATGTTTGTATTTAGATACTTATCGAAAATATAAAAAATATGTTTACATTTAGTTACTTGCCCACGGCATGTATGTGTGTATGTGTTTTACTTCAA